CATCAGGAGGCATCTGGCTTTGTCTGGCCAGACCCCAGCCCTGGTGCCACTCAGTGCCTTCTCCCCTGGGACTCAGGGCCGTCCTGTGTCCACTGAGGCTCCTGCTTGTTGTGCTTTTGTCTAAGGAACTGGGCATTTGATTTGATGACTAACACCATGCTTATGCCACAAACAGGACCCAGCTAATAATAAACAGTAGCATCCTTGACAGCAAGGGACACATCTGCTATTTCCAAGGGCCTTCAAGACCCGTTCACAGCTATTTCATTAGAGCAGCTGCAAAAGGTTTGGTCAATGTGATCACAAAAGCATTAGGGTCAGTTCATGTTCTCATGTTCCTGTTCTCTCTTGCTCTCGATTTCCCTGCCTTTCATTGCTTCATGTTAAAAGTAAAATTATAAAGGAAATAGAATATAGTTAAAAACATGGAATTGATGAGTCCCAAATAGGTATTTAAATAGCATTTGAATTTGATTTTCTGGCTGCTAAAGCAGTTTTACCAAATCTCTTCAAATATGTCCTAATTTACAAAAATGCCTAATTGTATGTGGAACCATTCACTTAACACACGCTTATTAAGTCATACTATATATTATTCAAGGTTCAAAAAACATACATAACTCAATATTCTGAGAGAGACAGCTACATTAGTATACACAGTATATGACCATAATATTATATGCAAGTATTGAATGCAATAAAGATAAAGCCTGCTACCTGGCTATACATGCAAGATTATGCAGCCTTTAAGAACAATGTGGTATAAATAAATACATGTCTCGTTCTGGAAAGAAGGTAGTTATGTGTGTTTTTTTCCTGATAGCTGACTGAATTTGTGTGGCAGATTTTGAGTTACTCATATGTTTAAGCATATGAATGTAATACAAATATTTAAAAATCACTTTCTCTGCCTATAAGTGCACAGCACATTTTGGGAGTGATCAGCCGTCAAGCTTATTTTACACTGTCCTTTAAACTGTCTACAATCTGAAGTTCTTCCCATCTTTAAATGTCGCAGTGTGACCTCAAAAGGCAATGTTGCATGAATGTGCAGGACCAGCTTCCACACAGGAGCCAGAACTTCATGCATCTGCACAGGAAATACAAAAACCTCTGAGGTCTTCACTCGCCGAGACTCTGGGCTTACTTCCACAGAAGACACAAACACAAATGCATACACACTGCAGAAAAACCACAAGCAGTTATATTCCTCTAAAACACATTCATGTTACAGTACTGAGAAGGAAGTATTCTAATGCTTCTGTCACCCAAGTTGGTCATGAAAAAGAGAATCAATCAAGTCTCTACAGAGGCAGAGCAAACAAACAACTCAGAAACACACCTCCCATTAATTCACACTAACAGATTCCTTAGCGAAAGGGAGCCACCTTTTCTTTTGCTAAAGCATCCTGGTCAACACAGTCTGAAAGTGCATTTTCACAGCACAGGGAATACAGCAAAGTTTTTCCTCAAATATTAGTCCATTCATTTTCCTTGAATAATAAAAGTGACACTGGAAGGTTAATGATGTGAAACTTTGCAGACAAAATGGAGCTACTATCCTCTTTCTGCTGACAAGACCGTAACAATGCAATGTGAAAAATTAGAAGAGAGGCATAGAGTCTCAGGTGGAAATTCACTTTATTGTGTATTTTAACCAGCAGGGCCTTCACTCTGCTAGGCAGCTCACAGAAGCACACATAGTAATTTAATTTATAGCTGAGAGTATTCAAGATGCTGTAATCAAGGGCAAAGTTGGTTGAGCTATACCATATTCCATATCAAAATATATCTTTGAATTTCTTTATATTTGGCAGTTCTTGACATAAATGCAAACCACAAGGACACACTTACATGATTTTTACAACACTACAAAGCACCCTTTTTATGAATGTAAGCACCAAGTTGGGAATTTAAATAATAGTCATGTTTGAATTTCAGCAGAACTGTATGTGTTCTACATAAGGGAAATCTAAATATTCAAAGGTACAATATTTCTGTTAAGGCTCCAAAGATAGTAATTGAATCTATAATGAAATCTTAGCACTTTAATATAAAACTTCTTAATGGTTTACTTCAAGTAGAATATTAACTTATAAAGTATAATAATTGAAGAGTTATCAAATAATAAAAAGTGGAATTTTCAAGAGTCACCATGAATTACTTATACATAATTATATATAATCACTTTTTAAACCATAACCACTAAAATCAGGAAACTCTCAGGCTGGGGATTTAGCTCAGGGGTTCCTGAGTTTGACTCCCGGCACCAATAAATAAATAAAGTAATTAATTAATTCATTAATTTAAAAAATAAGATAAAATCAGGAAGCTCTCATAGCTTGTACTCAACATGGCAATAGAAGTCTTGCAAAAGCAATTAGACATGACAATGAAATAAAAGGCATCCAGGAAGGAGTGGAAAAACAAGCCTATGTTTATCACAGATGATATGATCTTGCATATAGAAAATCCTAAAAATCCACACAATGACTTTTTGAACCCATAATCATGTTCAAGGAGGTTGTGGGACACAAGGTCAGTATAGAAAAATTATTTGTATTTCCATACACTAGAAATAAAAAAAATCCAAAAATGAAATCTATAGTAATTATACTAGTATAAAATGTTTGGGAGAAAACTTAACAAAATGAATGTGAAAAATATATAATGATAATGAAAAAAAATTGGAGAAATTAAAGATAATCTATGTTAGTATAAAGATTCTCCATGTTCATAGACTGATATTCAATATATGATTGGAATACTACAAATTAATCTAAAGATTTAGCAAAATTTCTATCAAATATTGGCTATTTTATTTTAATTTTTGCAGGAATTACAAGCTGACTCTAAACTTTGTATGGAAATACAAGGGTCCAGAATAGCTAATCAAACTCAAGAAAGAAGACTGAATTTGGAGAATCCTACTTCCTAATTTTGAAACTTCTGGTTGATGTTTATATAAATATTAAAATCCTAAAGTGAATTTTGCACACAAGTATATTATAATAATTACTTTCTAGAACCAAAAGAAATTCTTGTATTCCAGATTTCAGAAATTCCTAGTTTCTAAACAAATTATACTACTGACCATTGAGGTTCCCTATGAGATGTATGTGATATTTGCTGCTAAGTACCCAGCAGAAATCACACAATTATCCTATTTCTTAAATTACTGGCTTAATTTCATTTTCTATAATTTTATATATCCTTTAATTACACTTCTAAGATTTAAATTTATTAATCTAAGAAAAATATAAAAAGTCAAGCTTTAATGTCTATTCCCACCAAAACTAAATTACTTGCATATAAAATCAAATTAAAATAATTCTAAAATAATTACAATTAAAATGTCTAAATTTTTGTCCTTATAAGGTAACACTAAGTGATTATATTACTCGGTAAATTTTAACAGCTTTATTAATTTAAAATTAATAAAGTGTGCACAAAAGTGTGTACATCCAAGACATTGAACTGAATGTTCTAATAAACCTACACCTTGTGAAATAACTTCCAACTTAACTTAATTAGTTAATAGCCATTACCATACATAGTTACTTTTTGGTGTGATATAAATAAACACTTAAGAATTTCCCTTTTGAGAAACTGAAGTAAACAATACAGTACAGTATTAATTATGGTCACCATGCCATGTGTTAGATTTACAGACACAGAAAAAATAAGATTGTATGAGCTCATTTGTACTTGGAATATAAAATAGTCAAAGACACAAAAGCAGGGGACAGAACAGTGGTTGGGAGTAGGTGATGATGGGATGATGTTAAAGAGTCTAAAGTTTCAGTAATTGAACACTGGAAGAAAAAGAGAAAGTATCTAGTCCTGTGTGTTCTTCCTCATTGGGTTATCGAGAACTTCCCTGCACAGACGAAATGAATGACCGAGGTCACCAAGGGTAGCAATGTGTTCTCTGTAGTGTGGTTCACACACACAGAATTCAAACATTCTCACTTGCAGACCTCCGGCTTGATTGTTATGTGCTCAACAGCAAACCTTTACTTATCTTTGCAGCAAAACTTTTCAGAAACACTTGCAGTTCTTTAAGTACCATTCACCTATTTTAATTGGACTTCCATTCAATTAGTTCACTGAAATTCACCTTGACAAGATTACCAACGCCTTCTAGGCTAGCACATTCAATAGTCCCTGCTCCTGACTCGTCTACACATCTTCGTTGCAGCACAGAATGTGGCTAACAGCCGCTTCCTCGAAGTCTTCTCTTCTTTATTGCTGGGAATTAAAGGCTTCTATGTTTACTTTCATGAGTTCTATGTTTCTGTTCTTCTACATATTAGAGCACTTAGAAATGACATTGCATTTTCTGAAACTGTATTTCCTTAAGCACCATGGGATGCAGTTTGATGTTATCTGTATTTTATTTTCTCATTTACTAATTTATTTTCCTCATAATACTGGTATGTAGCCATATGTGCCATAGCACATAGGAAATATTTAATAATTATTTGTTAGCTTGCTGACTGGCTGGCTGGCAGGCTGAATGGATGGATGGTTAAATGGATGGATGGGTGGAAGGATAGAGGGTTGGAAGGAAGGATGGATGGATGGATGGACAGACGGATGGACAGAATGTGTGTCACGGATGTAAACTTTAATCCCTTGTTCCAGGGAACACGGACTTGCCTTGGTAGAGAGTGGTGATTGAAAATTATCTCCATTTAGTGTTCTCTTTGCTGACAAGGTTTGGATCTGTTTTGTATTTACTTTTTGTCCCACTGTGTTCTAGGCCAATTGCATCAGGATTATTGACTCCAAATATTACTATGGACCCACCATCATGGAATCCTAAGAATAACCAAGATTAAAGAAAAGAAGCAAGCCAGCCTCTGATTCTTGCTATGAGTATAAATACTCCAAATAAATACTTGAGCAGGAAAGCCAAAAGTTATGGAGGCAGAGTGATGTTTTCACTAGTCCTAAAGCACCTGAACTTGTAGTTACAGAATCTCTTGTACAGTTGCTTCTGAGAAGCCTACAGTTTAGCACCAGACTTTGATTTCAGTATTAGTAGCTGTCACCATGGGGCCAATTTCTTTCATGTCCTCTCTGATGCCATCAAGACTGCTCTTGAATCATTCCTCTCCTACTTTTCACCGCCTTCATCCAGTGCCAACTGGTCAGCTGCCATGCCTCCTGCTCTCCCTAGTCAGGTGGGCAGCTCTGGTCTCTCAGTAGCATTTGTGGGGAAGCTGTGTGTTTTCAACTACCATATGCCAGAGCTCAGCACCTAGCAGTCTGAGATAAATTGACATAATATATGGTCAGGATCTCTGCTTAGGAGAAATGCTAATGATGACAAAAATTTACATTTCTCAATGAAACAGTGTGATCATATAAACCTAAGGGAACAAATGAAAATAAATTACTCTGTGTTATGCGGTTTATCATGTACTTAATGCAATTTTCATTGTTTTCCTATTTTCTATATCAGCTATTTGAAGTAAATGAAAAGTACAAGGGTAATTTCAATCTTTCATTTTCAAGCAGATGATGTAGTTATTACCACCAAGAAACAGCATAAAATTGACATGAAAATAAAGTTTGGCATTTTAGAAAATGGCAGATGATTATAACACCTTATAACCATCTCAAAATATTTTCAAAGTTGAACTGAGGATACGTTTTTTTAATGTTACTTATCTTTTATTTACTTATTAAATTAATTTTATTGGTACATTTAAGGTATACAATTTAATGACAGTCATCATCGGAAATTTGGACCTTTACATAATCCATCTTGGTTCTTATTTTTCCCCATTCCCCTGAACTCCCTTCAACCCCTTCACCCCTCCCTATATACACAGACTTTGCTTCCATTTTTTTTCTTTTTCTCATATTAATTCCAGTCCCTTCTTTATCTTTAATAATACCTTCAAGTTTGCTCTCTCTTCTCTGTAGTTACTTTAAAAAAAAAAAAATCTTGCCTCCACATCAAGAATCTTTCTCTGTAACTGAGCTTTCCCTGATTATTCTCAGGCAATTTATTGAATCCATTTTAACCTCTATTTCCTTTTCATTGTTCTTATAGGGGAATAATAGGTCTCACCTTAGAGAGCTGTTTTATAGATTGAATGAAATAATCCATGAAAAACGTTGAGTGGAACACTTGGCTCATAGTAAATGCTTAACATATGCTTGTCTCCATCTTCTTCACCGTCACCACTATCAAACAAATAAGTCAGTGCCTAATTTTAATTTTCTTAGCATTCTTTAAAAGTCTGCCATACACAGCAGCATTTAGATTCAAACACAAGATCTGGCAGAAATTAGGTATTTAGTATATGTATACTAAGCATTGGTGACATTTTGTCCCCTCTTAGAGTTCCCGGGAGACAAGTATGTTTCCTACTTCTGAAGCTGGACACAGTGCTGGGGACAGCAGACACAGCAGGTGTTCCTTGCTGAACAGAGCATAGCCATGGTTAAGCATCCATTAGGATGTGACAAAGAGATACTCATTCCATTATGACATCAAGTGACACCAAATGCACAATTCGTAAGAATAACTCATAAACACTCCTTTCTGGCCTTTTATTGATAATTGATAACATGCCTGAAGAACACTTGGAAATTGGAAACTTGTAACTTGGACATTCTTCCCAGCTTCCCACGGCAAAGGTAGAGAGAAGAGAGAGCCATCTCAAATGAAACAGAAAGTGCATGAGTATTGCTATTAATTCTTTCATCTTAGAATGTGAGCATTAAAATATTAAATAGACAGATGTTAAGTAGACTATGATCTGTTTGATACTGTAAAGAGATTTTTCGAGTCTGTGTTTGCTGTTGGATTAAAGACTATAAATGCTGTATCAGAGAAGTATCATTTATTATTCAACCTTTGTTTTGTGCAGTGTAGGGAAAAGGGCATTGGGCTAAAGCCCCAGAACTCCAATAGTAGTCTTGCCTTTGTAATTCTGAACAAGACACCTTATAACCAGGCTTTAATTTTCATCTGCAACCTGTCAGCTTTCTTCCAGCTGTGAAATCCTAAGTTTCTAATAATAAGCCATCATCACAATCTGGTGTTTTGTTAGTATCTTTCTCCCAAAGCATTGCCACAGACTACAATCAGCACTCCACCCAGGCTCCATCTACAGGGAGACAATATCAAATCAGCACACACAATGAGGGTCTGGTGTACACAGCAGCCACTGGCTCTGTCTCCCTGGGATTAAGGCTCTCGTGGTGCACACTGAAACTGCAGAGTCCAGAGATTCTGGAACACGGGATTCCCTATTCATTCTCATCACAGCACCCTCAAGCCAAGGTGGCGGGGCCCGCGATTAGCTCAGTGGTTCTGCTACCTGCCTGGCAAGCACAAGGTGCTGGGTTTGATCCCCAGTACCATAGGAAAAAAAAGGACAAATGGCAGCCAGGAGCACAGTGGACATCAGACTGCTCTACTCATGACGAAGTCAAGCCTGCTGCTACGTATGGACAACACTGCTCTTAGATGGCAAAGAAGCAAGTTTTTGGATATGAGAAAAAATATGTTTTGTCTCTAAGAGCTACACATTCACAATATCTCTGTAGAGAAGCACACATGTATTTTATTACTTTTAAAATCAAGCTTCTTTGGAAAAAGTAGTCATTGCTAATACATATAGTCTGATAGGAGATAAAAAAGTTATGAAAATTATAATGAAAGTATTTGATATGTTTACTTGCAATGAATGGGTGGCTTGTCCATATTATATGCTCTTTTATAAGTAGTTTCTTAAAACCCAATTCCATAACTGATACTAATTTTATCCTACATCCACAAATGCTAGTCATGCTGAAAGCTTAATATACAGCATATTTATGAAATATAGCAAATAAGTATTCTCTGTTTAATTCCATTTCTAATGAAAATAATACCATAATACCTGTGCTAAAAGTACAATAATGGTTTTTGTCATTCACATGAGTTTCTGATTTGAAATTTTTTTCTAGGCCTTAAATAATTTCATTTATTTAACAGAAGAACATAAATGTAATGTACGTTTAATGCTACACACACATCAGCATCCAGAGGAGGAACTTGCACTGCCGTATTTATATTGTGTGAGTCTACACCAGGATAATCACAGACTTCCCAGGGGCGCTTCTCAGGTGTGCACAGGTTTAGTGGCTCAGTGTGAAACAGCACAGGCTGCAAGCCAGGCCACTGCAGAGTGGGGTTTTAGAGGAGCATAAAAGAGTGATGATCCTAGGTCATTTCCGAGTGCAGGATAATGAAGAGCAAAGGACTGGCCCATACTCTGGGGTATGAAAAGAAAGATCCAGAGCCAGGGGACTTCCTGCATTGCCCTGCCCCTCCCTCCCCTCTGGCTGGAATGGCCCCTGTTCTTGTACAGAAACCTGCGCAGCCCTCCTGCCCTCCCTGGAGAGGGCGAGCACATAATGAGTCCTCCTGGTGGGGGCCAGGGCGCATCTCCTGGACCTCTACTGCTCATTCCCTCCTCTCCCTGCAGGCTGAGCACAGAGTCCCACCCACCGCCCTGGATTCCCGTGCTTTATCTGTGTTGTTGTCCCACTGATTCCTCAGCTAATTAATCCCCTGCTTATACAAATTCAACCATGTTTCAAAAGTGATCCTCATAAATCATGATGGGCAGAAATGCTTGTTGGGGGGGGAAAAAGACCCCTTCAAGGCTGGCTCCTTCGGTACTGCTTCAGCTAAAGTTAAGGGGACAGAGAGGAAGAGGCTGCAGAGCTCCACACTGGCCTGCTGCTGTCCTGACATCACACCCCTCACAGACCTACCCTCAGCCTCTATCTCCCTTCCCCTCCGGTGCCCAGCTGCTCCCCATTTATGTGCTTGGGACAACATGTGCTTTTTTACCTGCTAACAAATCAGAGGTATTTCAGTCATTCCTTTGACTTATATAACAGCCCAGCTTAAACAATCACACAAGGCACGGAATCCAGAAGTGCTTTTGTGGCAAGTAGCAGGATGAAATGCTTTGTTCTTGGCTAAGGGAATTTCAAGCATCAGCAGCCAGGGGACTTCCATTGTTCTTTTGAGTCTGGATCAGGCAAGGGACACTGCAGACCTCCCTGCTTTAATGGGGGCCGAATCAGGACATAGGCAGTGACATAGAGAACCCTGTTTTGATAGTCTCTTCCCCCACAAAGCCCTTTTTCCTGGAAAGGATGTGAAGTAATTTGAAGATTGTTGTTGGAGGCGAACAGGAGGGGAGAGGCTTTCATCTATTTCCGTCAACAAGTCCATCTCTCTAAAAGCACATTTTAACAATTTCCAACAAAATACCTACACACTTCAACACAATTATTGCCCCTATCAAAATGAATGTTAAGTGCATGTGTATAAGCAGTCTGGTTTGCAGAATGAAGAGAGCAAACCGTAAAAGAAAAGACAACATTGTCTTTTTACTTGAAACCTTTATGTGCCATGTGTTCATCGATCCATAGCTTGCTCAAAACTCTCAAAATTCTTTGTATGATATAATTTGACGTGGGAATTTCAATAGGACATTCAACTAATTTTAACTAGCTTAGAAATGCAGGCTGGGGAACGAGCCTGAGAGTGGTTTCTGTGTTTTTGCAAGATGACCTTGCCCCAGTGGTAGCAAACAGCACATCTGTGGTGCTAACGTACTCAAAAAAAAAAGCACTAGAGAGAGAGTTTAGGGCTTTCTAGCCAGGGCCAGACATCCATGCCGAAGTTATATATCAAAGGAGATTTTTCTTACTTAGCCAAATTCATAGTATTTAGAGTACAAAGTGCTCAGTTTTTAATGGGACAGTCCCCTGCACCAGAAGCTTCCTGCCACACATATTTCAGAGTAAAATTGATGATATGCTACCCTTAAACAATGAGTGACATTTTCAAATTAAAAAGAGTTGTATCTCCTCAGGGAAGTCAGGCAGAGTTTAGATTTAATAATTTTGTTTTCAGATCTTACTTTTGTTGATAAGGATGCCTGATATTCCATTCTCGACCTAAGAGATGCTAGAACTACTGAAAGCGGGGGAGAACTTTGCAGTGTGAGCTACACACAGCTACAAAGGATCAACTGCCCAACATCACAAGCAGGAGCAGGACGCTTGTTGCAGATAGTGCTGACCAGGTGTTGCCTCCCGGTGTCACCGACCTGGCTGGACACAGGGTCAAGGATGGGGCTTTGAGGAAAATCACAGCAGCCAGCAGGCACTTAGAGCTTCCTCTGAGCTAACGTTTTCCAAAACGTGCCTAAGAATTTCATAGGCATTAAAATTTAATACTCAGAATGTGGCTACTAGCAAAGAGCTATCAATAGCACCATGTGTTCCGAAGAATAGTAAGGAACAGAGTCAAACCCAGAATTAGCATCGATCGGGGCAATTCCACGGCTGGGCACACACCCAGAAGAACTGAAAACAAGACCTTGCCAGACCCTCGGACACCAATGCACCAGCAGCAGCATTCTCAGTGCCCCAAAGTGAAAGTAACCCAAGTGCCTAGCAGCAAAGGAGTGGATAAGCAAAATATGAATGGAATAATATTCAATTTTTTAAAGGAATGAAATTACACGTTACAGCATGGATGGCTTTTCAAGACATTAGGCTCAATGAAGGAAGTCGCCACGGAGGCACAAGTCCGTTTGTTGGATCCCATCTGCGCCAGGCACCGTGGCTGAGGAAGAGTGTCAGAGTGACTGGTTTTGGATCCCAACCAGGCATGGGTGGAGCACATTTCTGGATGCATCTGCATGGGTCACAGAAGCATGAATTTGAGGTCTCTATGTGTTCTGTGGCACTATTCTTCTGCTCTGCTCCCAGGAGACCAGGAATCAATCACCTTTGCTTCACTATGTCCCTCTACCACTGTGTTTCTGCCTTGGAACCAGCTGGCCAAGTACTGAAATCTGCTAAAACTTTGAGCCACATTAAATCTCTCCTTTTTAAGGTTTTGAGTGGCCCAGCAACAGGAATGTTGACTAATACATGAGCTTCCTCCAACAGGCAAAAGTGTAGCTACAGAAAAAAGATGATCGGGTTCTAAAGAAAGGGTTCGTGGGGAATTATGGCTTACTGCATGGTCTTGGTCCACTTTTTTTGTTTTTGTCACTGTCACTGACTACCTGGGTGGTTTTTGAGAGTAAGGGTTTATTTAGGCTCAGAGCTCTGAAGGCTCAGAAATCCAAGAGCATGGCAGCAGCTAGTGATTATTGTGGTTTAATCTCAGGGCAGAAAGTGGACATGGACATGGGAGCATGCACAGGGTACAAACACAAGGGCAACTTTACTTTATAATAACTCAAGACCTAATCCCAAGGGAAAGACAACCAGATCAATCTCTCTATTTTTCTCTTCAAAGTCCTGCCCAACACTGCTACAGTGGCTGGCGATAAAATCCTGACAGAAGTTTCACAGACAACAAACCATTTCCAAACCATGGCATGGACACAGAGCTTCA